AACTGTCTCTCTCATTTAGGTTGATTGCTTTGATGCAAAGACAAAGGGAATGACAGATTTTCGACATCATTCAAAATGGCTCCTTCTTGCCGACGGAATCAATGTCCTGGAGCTACAGACCCTGGCCTTGGAAAACGTGGTTGTACTTCGTCACCTTAAGGTGTGTATCTAAATAGGGACTAAGGATAATATTTGTGAAAAATATCAGTTGAATGCAGGTGCCTACGCAGGTAAGCATACTTTTGCCGATCTGACATTTTGGGAAGTGTTCCTCCGGTAAGATTCCACTGTGTTCCCAGAATAGCTGAAGTCATCACCCAGCCAGCTGATGGAACGGACTTTGTGTTGTTTGTTGAAGAAGACGCTGGTTTAACTGTTGGTTTGTCACTGGCTGATCAGTTGAAAACAGCCTTGGAACGCAGTTGAAACCAATCTTACGTTTGGTCCACTGTCCAGAATGTTGACAAATGAGTTATTTTATCATCTTTATCCTGTGTGCTGGCAGTTTAAGGTCTTTTTGTTCCCGAGTCGTCCTCTGACCATCTACAAATACCCACAGCCGCTAAATACCCACAGGTCTATACACAGTGCTATACATCTGGCACTAGAACTGGTCTCGTTAATGCCTGCAGAAATAATGTATTCCGTTTGTGTGTGTGCACATCTTAAAAGGAGCCTGTAAGCATTGACAGTATTGCACTTTGTACATGCAAACTGTACTAAACAGCAATCGTCACTGAGATCAAAACTTTTCATTCACCTCTCACAGATCATACGTGCCATAGGGGTACACATGAAGTTTATTACTGAACTACTGTAATTAAAAAATCCTTGAGTATAGATACACTCACGTTATATGTTATGCTTAGACTTGAGTTCCACCATTTCGTGTCCTAGTGCTGGATATTCAACGCTTTCACCTTAAGACATCATTCAACTAAAACCGAGCTGGTACCAGTGGCTGACTGTACTTCAGGAAACACCATGGCATGCTATTTTCCTAATGTTGCCTATCGTTACAACAACCGACATCTGCTGGTGACCGTTCTTTCTGAGGTAACACTATAAATGGCTTTTGTTTACTCTGAGATGTTATTTGTGAAAAAGGCCTCCATTCATCACCAAATTCTTTACTTTCGTTTACATCCCCAAAATAACATAGTCTTGGGAATTGAGGTATACTAAATATAGTATTCGTCGAAATGTTTTCAAATTGCGACTTTGTCTGAAAGAAAGTTAAGTGTCAAGTGTTTTTTCTAATTTTCGCAAGAATTGGGCCAATACACATATGTTGAACGTGAAAAGAAATCCCATGGTAATTTTGTTCAAACCATGACTTTCACGTTTTAATGGATTGTTTTCAAATTTGGGGATCACTTTCCACACAGAAAGGCGCAGTGCAGAGTTGTATTGTGGGATTTTTCAATTTGTCACATTTATCAAGAATTATCACAATTTACATTTCTTGTTTTCAGCTCAAGTTGGAGGTCTATTGACTTCCTCTGTTTTGTTCGTTATAACATAATAATCATTGTAAATAGGATTTTGAAAATGTTAACATTGTGGTGCTTTTGATATTTATACACACATATTGTTCACTCTGCAAAACCCGTTTAAAAGAATGCTTGTTTACCTCAGCCAATATGTACACACATTGGGCGGCACTGTTGTTATTCTTTCAGTCAACTATCTACACTGTGAAGTCCCTCAACAATGGAACGACACGTTATAGAGGATATGCAATAGATATCTTGGATACAATCGCCGATATTCTTAATTTCAGGTGAGAAACTGTTAGATACATTTCATTCTGTCAATGGTTTCATTCAAACACAACTCACTTTATTAAGTCGCGAGTGAATTTTGACTGTTCATATGACTGTAGCCATCTTCATCTAAAACATTCCTTCTTTTAGTTACAGTATCACTGAACCACAGGATCAGTCGTATGGACTCCCTGTCAACAACACCTATAATGGAATTGTGGGGCAGCTAAATAGAACGGTAATTGGGAATGAAGACTATAACATACCATTTGATGGGTGGCTGTTTGTAATATCGCCTGAACACAGATTATAAAACGCCTAGATGCCTCTTTGTTAGTTGTAAGAGGCAAATGCCTATTTTGCAAATATTCACAAAGGGGGATAATTGGTGTGCTTTGCCACTAGTGGAAGCCGCGGTGGCTGAGCGGTCTAGGCGTCTGACTTTGTGTGCTGGCGATTATGTGCCTGACTCTGAGGGTGGGGGTTCGAATCCCGGATGGGACTCAACCCTACAAAAGTACTAGAATCTGTTCTTTACAAAGAAAGTGTAATCCCAAATATAACATATGTTACAATTGGTGAGCAATTGAAAATTATGTTTCTCTCTTGTGGCGTGTAACTTCATTGTGATAGCGGGTTCACATACTATCCTTGCAATGGTATGGACAGGTGACTATGTGTCTGATAGTTTTCCTCACACTTGTATTTCGTATATTACCATTCGATTACTTACATGCTCTTGTGCACCAAACAGATTGAACAGGCAGCCAAGGCTAATTGTAATCACTTGAAAGCGTTGATTTGGTGATATATGTAAATGGTGCATTTTCGCTATTATGACGATACTGCAATCAATTTTAGCTCAGCTTAACATTTGTAATGTTTAAAAAGAAGAATGTGACTTTATTGTATAACATACACAATACAATAGGTGAGGTGAAATTGGGTTTAACGTCGTACTTGAGAATCTTTCGCTCATATGACGACGTGCATGCGTGTGTATGTGTATTTGCGGCTGCTTGTACTAGCCCAGCCTGAAGCTGGTTTTATAGTGCTAGCCCACCATGCCGCAGTGAAGCATGAATACCCCACTCAGACACATTATACTGACTCCGAGCCGACCAGTCCTTGTTGTACCCGTTAATGTCGAGCGCCAGGAAGGGACCAACAAGTACCATATTTTAACGTCTTTTGGTATGACGCGGTCGGGGATCGAACACGCGACCTTCCGCTCTCCGGGCGGACGCTCTAACCACTACACCACGGAGGCGGTCACACAATACAATAAATGTTACAAATACATATTATGTGAAGAGTAATAACGTTTGAGAAGAAACAGTTTTCTCAGTTACATGTTATGGTTTTATTGACATTTTTGACATAGATAAATCTACATCCCAAAAAGTGTCTCAAGGCAAAGGGCTTACTTAAAACTTAATTCCCCATCGCAAGCATTTATTGCACAAAGAAACCCTACTACCAATTCAAGTGAACAGTATACAATCCATCCATTACAACTGAACACATATACTCATTTGTAACATCTAAACTGAAACTATTAAAATCAGGCCGTCTGTAAACATAATGACGATATTGTTTGAAAGACTAGTGGTACCTGTAACCGAAGAATGAAAATGATTTCATACTTCAAACTAAACTGAAACAGTAAAATAGGTCATGCTGTCATGTGCAGATTTAAATATCGAATGCAATACATGCCATGTGATGAAACGGATAAGAGAACTGTAAGCCATACTATGACGTAGCTTCGGTAATTTCAGTCAATATCAATTTTGAAATACAGAACAAGAAGGATAACGATTCAGTTAAGTTCTACTATATTCAACGAACTCATTCCATGTTGATCACAGATGACTGCAAAGGAAAAAAACCCACAAAAACAGTTATTGAGCGACAATATTTATGGTATTTCTTTACGCGTTTAAATGGATTATATTAAAATATGGCTTGCTCCTGCAGTTCATTTCGTTTTATGCATAAATCTCTCTCATGCAAGAAGCAATAAGTATTTCTCCAATGTGATATGAAATCGGTTTTGTATGGCCACTCAAACAGAACAACATTTGCCTAAAAGTAACTCTTTTCACTCCTCCTGTCATCGACATGAGAGAGATATTGAAGAGAAACTGAAAGAAGTAGTGGTAAAATCTTTCCTAAAGTTTTCCCAAATTGACAAGCGTTGTAAATATCAACTTTACAAAATTTGTAATTTTCGTGGTAAATATGAACTTTACAAAATTGAAATTTTGTAAATCATCAAATGCTTTCTTGTGTATATTTTTCTGATTCCGCAACAATTTAACACTTCAGGATAGCTATGCTCATTGGACTCTTTGGGATGTGTATAAGTGAGGAAGAAAGGATGTATATTACACTGCCTTATACACTGTGTTTGTACTTTTGCAGGAGGTGGACCTTGCTGCTTGTGACTTGACAATAGAAGAAGGTCGTTCAAAGTTCATAGACTATATATATCCGCCAATCAGCACGGAATACTTTGATGTTTTGTATAAGAGGCATGACAAAGAACAAATTAACTCTCTTTATCTTTTGGCACTCCCACTCAGACCAAACGTGTACCTCGTTCTGTTTCTGATGGCAGGACTATGCTCACTTCTCTTTGCTCTGTTCGAAAGTGTGGATATCTTCTTGCACAAAACACCTGCAGAATCTGAAGGTGTTGGTCTATGTTTTTTTAGGAAATTCAAACAGAATCTATTTCATGCTTGCTGGGAAGTCACTGGATCCGTGTTCATGCAGGGTATGTATAAAATGAAATTCATTATAAATGACAGGTAAAGGATTAGGGATGTGTATTGGCAAATAAATTGTATTGTAATGTATTGCAATTCATGTACCTGTCTGCTATACGTATTGCGATATATTTGGAACTTTTATGTTTGACAGTGAGTGACACTAGTTGTGCATTTCAACGTTTTTCTAATACATGACATACTATATACTTACATTGCTGAATAGGCTTGACAAACACTCAAGATTGTGGATAATGCTTTGTGATTTTGAATGTTAAACTTTATGCATAAGTACAGACAGAATCAGACGACTATGACTTGTAGGGTAATCCATACTGAGAAAGCTCAAATGTTTTGACAGAGCTCATCTGTTCGGATGTCAACAATGGTAATCATTCTTTAGTACTATTCCTATTCAGGCTTTAGCAGATATCCTAGAAATGTGTCGGGGAAGGTTTTGATGACGTCGTTGTGGATGTTGCTGATGGTGATAACGACAGTCTACTGTGCCAACCTGGTCGCCGCTCTGTCCGCACAGAAAGATGTTAAACTGTTCTCTGACCTAGAAAGTCTTCTGGACAGTGATTATGCTGTGGGTATGCGATCATCCGGTATCACCAGTCATATACTGAAGGTATTTTGCGTGCATTATTCTAAAAACCGGTTATTCTTTTTTAATTTATACTTGGTGTTTTAAGTGTTGATAATGTATTCCGACGATAACGCGTTTCTCCCATTGGAGGGTTTGGATCAGCATTCCATGAACTACTGTATCGTCATTCTTCGACCGTGATTTCACACAAAATGGAATCTCAAAATGGACACTCATTTTACTAGAAATTTAATGACTAGGGAATTCTTAAACGTTTCATATATTGCAAATGAAATATATTCAATCTTTATTTTGGCGTAATTTATGAATTAGTATTACAAATTCATTATACAAATTGTTACTGTGCAATCTTTGCACATGCATTTTTGTTACTTTTGGATGATGATATGTGTATCACAAAAGCACTTGACCCGTGAAGATCCGGGTAAGAATATTGATCGTCAGTAACCCATGCTTGTAGTGGGAGGCGACTAGCGGGATCGGGTGGTCAGACTCGCTGACTTCGTTGACACATGTCATCGGTTTCCAATTGCGCAGATTGATGCTCATGCTGTAGCTCACTGGATTGTCTGGTCCACACCCGATTATTTACAGACCGCCGCCATATAGCTGGAATATTGCTGAGTGCGGCGTAAAACCAAACTCACTCACTCACAAAAACACTCAGAAAACGATAAATTGTTAATCGTAGTAGAACTAATTGCAGGCCTGATTGTTTTCAGACAAAATTCGAGATTCGAAAACTTGTTTTACATGGTTACAGAAATTAGATGGTTTGTTAGAACTCTGTATCCTACACAAGAGTGAGTGAGTGAGCTAATACTTAACTTTACATCGGCAATATTTCAGTCATATTTTGACAAGAACAAAATTGACATTGATAAGGATTATATGTATATTATAAACCAATGCACAGTAAAACAAGTAGAGTATCACAGTTAGAATTGACACTATCATGTAACGTCAAAACAACAGCACTATTCAGAATCCCATGGCGTTACATCATCCGTTCAGCTGTTGGCGATGTGGACACATTTAGCCATAAATTAAACCTACGAATTATCTTCGATTAAAATTGTGGTAGGATTAAGACGTGGTCTTACATGACCTCTCAGGCGACAATAATTTCACAATACCATAATCTATGCCTTTGCATCAGCATCTGTCCAACTTATATTTCTGTAATCCCCCCGGAACTCGTCAAGACCAACCTCCTCGTGGTGAGTGCTGGGTAACCCTAATAGCTCTCACCAAGCACCCCCATCCTCCATCCCCACCTGTCTAGAGTTCCTATATGGCAGCACTGTTTCTTCTGGTGTATAAAATCTGTATTGGGCAAATATGGGATATTGTTGGTGTAAATTATTTCACTTCGGTATATACTTGGTGTACATCTCCAGGTAATACTATTACTCTTCGTTTTTAACCAGCGGAGTGACCCATCAAGTCTGTATGGAAAGCTGTGGTCAAAGATAAAAGCCGACGACCCAGCGCTGTTCTTGGAATCCTCGCTGGAAAATAACCTAAAACGAGTGGAACGTGAGAAATACGCCTTCTTGCATTACACATCAGAACTAGAGAAGCGTTTGGCTGATGACTGCCAGTTGGAGGTTCTGGGAGAGAGACTATTGTTTATCCATCAAGCATTTGGATTACCCAAAGGGTCCCCTCTAAAAGCTGACATAGAGAAGATGTAAGTTATCTCAAACCCCTTTATAAACATTATACGAAGTGCTTTTTCAACATTAATAAAATAGTATGGATAAAAAATTTAAGCAAATGGTATATTAGGATGTATTCATTCTGATACGCCTAGCTCTTCTGCTTTGTCTGAAAAAAAACACACGTTTGTGTATACTTAATTTGGTTGTATTTCGTGGAATATGATTTAGATATATTGTGCCAAAAGTAATATCAAGAGTACCATAATAAGCTTTTTTCGGCTCAGGTTTTACAATGGCAATGCATTTGTAATTTCTTTTTGTCTTCTCGCAGAATGTCTCAGATGAATGTGATTGGGCTGTTAGATAGACTGTGGGAAAAGTGGAGCCTCAAGAGAAACCTGACTCATTGTACAGCTAAAAGAGTATTGAAGTCAGTCACAGTAAACCAGATCGGAGGTGGCTTCATTGTCGTGTGTGCTGGGACTGCACTCAGTATCATTGTGCTGTGTCTTGAAAAACTAACTCACTCAGTAACACTGACTGACTGACTGAGTTTGGTTTTACGCCGCTTTTAGCAATATTCCAGCAACATCACGGCGGGGGACACCAGAAATGAGCTTCACACATTGTACCCATGTGGGGATTCGAACCAGGGTCTTCGGCGTGACGAACCAACGCTTTAACCACTAGGCTACCCCACCGCCCCCACTCAGTAACAAGATGAAGAATGATGATAATTGTATGGATCTACAACTTCAGTACAAGATGAATACTGACTCGGTAGCGTGACGTGTTCATGAAATTTGATTCATAGATGCTTCGCTAAAGGATATCGGCGATATCGTACACTTTTTTCCATTACGTCACCCTGTATTGACGTTACTACGCCATGCTCGTCTATCCCCTCGTAATGAAACGTATCCTTGGTAACCGACGTCACGATACAGGTCAGTTGTCATCGTCTTCTACAGTAAACTACTCCGTAGCCACCCGTTTCTTGGTTTGCAGTTGCTTCAATCGGCTAACATCACTTGTGGACACATTACATTCTTGAAAGGCATTTAGAAGTTGGACGAACGTGAAAAGATGACACGTTTTTATTGATAAGAACTTCTTTTTATGCTTTATGCGACTTTCCAGAGCTAATCCTTGCTCCTTACATTAGGTCAATGCTGAGACAGAGCAGAGAGTGAAAATATACATACATACATACATACATACATACATACATACATACATACATACATACATACATACATACATACATACATACATACATACATACATACATACATACATACATACATACATACATACATACATACATACATACATACATACATACATACATACATACATACATACATACATACATACATATACATATAGAACACGTTTAAACAACGCAGGGTGGGAGATATAACCCTAAACCCTAGATGATGTGTGTACAAATTAGCATGCAACTGCATGGCCCAATAGCCAGAAGCATAAAGGAACAAAAGACCTCCGCAAAAAAATCTGTCATGAAATCTGCCCTTTTGGAATGTATCATCAAAAATCCCGACCACCATATTCCCTGGAACAAACCAACATAAAGATTCTACATACCAACTTCAACTTCTGTGAAAAGAGGAAGCATCCAGATCCAAGAAAAGAAGCCAGCCATTAATCGAGACCAAGGCATTTACCTACCCAGTGTATACTCAATTGTTCCATGTCTTACATTGTAATACCGTTCACTGGAATAGCCTGTACGTGAGTCCTGGACGAGGACTGTTAATTTAGGTCACCGGCACTGTCGCTTTTCCGTTTGTTTTCTGCGTGGATGTATCCCTGTGTATCTTACATTTTGGCATCTTAGAAAAGCAATACAGTTCGCTGTACCCCCCAGGTATAGTGTAATACAGTACACTTTTCCCCTGATACATCAATTTCGACAATTGATATGTGTTTTAAAATTAGACTAATATTATGATCAACTGACATCACAGATGGTTGTGTCACAAGGAGGCGTAAAGTAGCGCCCTTCTGCCACTGGAATAAAAGTCCATTGTTGATTAAAGAATATTGTCTAGTGTTTTAGAATTTCGACTGGTTTGTGGCCATCTAATATTGGCTAACATAACCTTAGCCACTGACAACAAAAGGGAGACAATCTGCTAGAAAATCAGGTAGGAAGCAAAAGCACTGTAAGTCCTCTTGATAGTCAAACTTTGGTTCTTGTTGGTTTGACCGCCTCCGTGGTATAGTGGTTAGAGCGTCCGCCCGGAGAGCGGAAGGTCGCGGGTTCGATCCCCGACCGCGTCATACCAAAAGACGTTGAAATATGTTACTTGTTGGTCCCTGCCTGTTGCTCGGCTGTAATGGGTACAACAAGGACTGGTCGGCTCGGAGTCAGTATAATGTGTCTGAGTGGGGTATTCATGCTTCACTGCGTCATGGTATCTCAGTGGGCTAGCACTATGAAACCAGCTTAAGTGAGTGAGTGAGATAATATTTATCGTCACATCGGCAATACTTCAGCCATATCGTGACGAGAACAGTTTATAACTATATTAGAGATCAATATAGTTAGAAATTTAAAAAAACCTCTTGTCGAAGAACAGTAAAACTACTAGTGTATCACAGATATCCATTTAAAACTAGCAATTAAATCTAAAATATTGGAACTATAAATGACAATACAATATAAAAACAGGCTATAGATTGCCAACGTCTGAAGGTAGATCACCATACTAGGGACCATGGGGACTTAGAGTACATTTGCTTCCTGCATGGACCCTAGCTGGAATTGCACCATCCCCTCACCCGTTAGCAACGTAGACAAATCTAGCCATACATTTAAAAGCACACATATTCTACGATTAAAAATAGCAGAGAGTTTCAATTTGCTTTGAATGTTTGTGGACTTACGTATCCTCTCAGGAGGACAATAATTTTACTGTACTTTAACCCCCCTTGAGGATACAGCCACTAACAATCTTAGTTATCAATTCAAACTTCCAATCATGAAATATTTAGCTATTTACAAATCAGTTAACAAATCTAATTCTTTTAAAAATGCAATAATTAAATGAGGACTTATATTACTAAAAAGATCCTCCATAGTTCGTGATTTGAAATATATATCCCTTGTGATGGAATATTCAAGACATGCTTGACTGTGATTCTGTCATCACAAGGGATACAAAACGGAGGATTCATGAGTATATATCTTGTGTGGCCAATACGACATCGTCGCATGATGACCTCTTCAAATCATGTAATTTATTGATACCTACTTGGGTGTCCCACTTCTTCTGCATCAGATCACGGATATAAGATCTAATAGCAGCTTTGTAATCAGAGTATGGGATCAGAAGTGGTGTCACAGATTTGTTGAGAGCTGCCTTAGCAGCAAGATCGGCCATTGTGTTCCCAGAAATGCCAACGTGGCTGGGTAACCAACAAAAGACGATGTCGTATTGGCCAGTAGCAAGCTCATTATACAATTCAATAATTTCTAATAAAAGTGGATGTTTACAAGAAAGATTTTTAATCGCCTGAAGACACGAAAGAGAATCGGAACTGATTATGTATTGTTTATATTTACGGTGTTTATGAATATATTAAAGAGCGGTTAATATGGCGTTAGTTTCTGCTGTGAAAATAGAGCTGTTATTTGGTAGTCGAGAAGATATTGTTCTGGATCCAATGACAGTGACACATGCAATCCTAGGACCCACCTGTAAATAAGGATTTGTATGTATTATATTTCTTTTTTAATTCATTATATTCTTGTATATATTGTAATTCATTAGTTTCAGATTTCTTAAACATTGTCCGAGTTAGGTCAACTTCAGGCCTCACCAGTTGCCAAGGAGGAAAAGAAAGAATACGGGAAGGAGATATATTTTCCAGCTCAATGCCGGCAGCAGAAAGGAACGGTTTAATTCTTAGCCCAGAACAAGAGAAGACTTTTTGTTGTATAAATCCTCATAAAGAGGGTTGAAAACACAGTTAAATGCAGGATTAGACTCGTTAGAATAGAGTTATGTTATATACTGTAATGATAATTTGATACGACGTTGGTTAAGGGATGGCTCATCAGCCTCAGCATAGAGACTGTCAACAGGAGAAGTTCTAAAAGACCCAAGACAAAGCCTTAGGCCTTGGTGGTGGACAGAATCAAGTAGTTCAAGGTTGCTTTTGCAGGCTCCACCATATACAATGGAGCCATAATCAAGTTTAGATCGCACCAATGATCTATGTAAGTGAAGGAGGGTTGTTTGATCCCCTCCCCACTTTGAATTGGAGACAACCTTTAACAAATCGAGTGCCTTCAGGCATTTAGCTTTAAGGGATTTAATATGTGGCAGGAATGTTAATGGGAATCGAAAATTAGGCCGAAGAACTTGGCCTCCTCTACAACTTTGATGGGTGTGCCATTTAAAGATAGTTCTGGGTCCTTATAAGGCTTATATTTTCTACAAAAATGTATACAATTAGTTTTTGATTTAGAAAATTTAAAGCCGTTTTCAAGTCGCCATTTATTTATTTTGTTTAAACATAACTGTAGTTGCCTTTCAATAGTATACATATATTTACCACGGCAAGAAATATTGAAATCATCCACAAATAATGATCCATCAATTGAATCATTTAAAACCGTTGATAAACTATTGATCTTGATGCTAAACAATCTGACAGACAACATACTGCCTTGTGGGACACCCTGATCCTGATTGTAATGGTCAGACAGGGTTGAACCCACTCGTACTTGAAATTGCCTGTCATTTAAAACGTTGGACATAAATTGAGGCAAACAGCCTCGTAATCCAAAATCATGCAAATCCTTTAAAATCCTATGTTTCCATGTCGTGTCGTATGCTTTTTCTAAATAAAAAAAGATCGACACTGCATGTTTTTTTAATAATTATGGCATGTTTCACCAAAGATTCTAAACGTACTAAATGATCGATGGTACTACGGTTTTTACGGAAACCATATTGTATATTAGTTATAAGGTTATTGGTTTCCAAGTAACAAACAAGTCGATTGTTGATCATGCGTTCCATGGTTTTGCAAACGCAGCTAGTCAGTGAAATTGGTCTATAATTAGAGGGATTAGTATGATCACGTCCAGGTTTAGGTATGGGAACAATGATAGCATCACGCAACGACGAAGAAAATTTTCCAGATTTCCAAATGTCATCAAAATTATCTTGAGCGTCTCTAAACATGATTCAGGTAAGTGCTTCAGGAGTTGATAATGAAGCAGTATCGTGAGCCTGATCAAGAGCAGTATGAAGCTCATGTATCGAAAAGGTTTCATTGTAGTCTTCCCCGTTATCTGATTTGAAATTAAAAGATTTCTTTTCTTGTTTTTTTTTTATATTTTTGGAATTCAGGTATATAATGAGATGAGGAAGAATGTTTGGCCAACGTCTCACCAAACTTATTTGCAATATCAGATTTATTGGTTAATAATTGGTTCCCATCTTTCAGATGGTGAATGCTAGATTTAGACCCCTTATCTTTGATTTTCTGGATCATATTCCACACCTTTGATATCAGCGTGCACGAATTTGCTTGAAAGTACGCCGTGCTTTAGCGTTTAAAATTCTAAATTTGTCTAAATTGTGGACCATAGGATGGCGACGGAAATAATGCTCGGCTTTCTTCCGTGCCTTCTTAGCCTGTTTGCATTCATCGTTAAACCATGGTTTTCGTACATGTGGAATTGCAGAGGACTTTGGGATACACTCGTCAGCTATATCATTTAGTTCATCTGAAAAACATTGTATGGCATCAGGAATATCATTAAAAAGTTCAGGTTTTAGTTTCTCAGCACAGAGAATTTTATACAGAGGCCAGTTAGCTTTTTTAAAATTCAATCTCGATGATGGAGGAACATCAGATGGATTCACGGGTTTTAGTATTGTTGGGAGACGATCACTACCAAAGAGATCGTCGTGAACTGACCATTCAAATTCACTCATTAGGTTGGAGTCAGTAATAGACAAATCAAGAGCTGAAGATGTTCCTGTGACAGGATGTAAATACGTATTTGAGCCGTCATTATAAATGCATAAATCATTATTGGAAATAAATTCCTCGAGTAATTTACCTTTGGTGTTTGTATTAGTGCCACACCAGAGCGGGTTGTGGACATTTAAATCACCCATGATTATACAGGGTTTAGGTAGTTGAT